GGAACTGTTAAAGAAATGATATGGACTTGTATGACATATTTTTAATATAGCAAACTGAATTTAACTGTTCTTTTTTACTTTCCTATCTGTATACAGATATAAGGAAAGTATAGGAATCATGATTTTTTTCGACCTCGAGTTTTCGACGGATTTTTACGTTTTGAGGTCCCCTGAATCCGTTTTGACTATTTTCGCGATGATGTCTGTCTGTGTGTGTGTGTGTGTGTGTGTGTGTGTGTGTGTGTGTGTGTGTGTGTGTGTGTGTGTGTGTGTGTGTGTGTGTGTGTGTGTGTGTGTGTGTGTGTCTGTGTGTGTGTGTCTGTATAACGCATGAACCGATACACGGAAAAACACCAAATTTCAAACTTAAGCTTTATTCCAGCGTCTAATGAGCTGATTAGATTTTGGGCAGAGTCGGAACATCTGGGGGGGTACTTTATAGGTGGTCATTTTTATATTTTATGGAATATATCTGTTATTTACGTTTGGCGAAGAAATTTTTTTAAATAAAAGTTACTTCTTATTTTATTATCTATAATTTTTGTTATTTACAAAATTTTCCTAAAATGGTCCGTATTCGAGAAATTTGACAAAATGTAAAAAAATATTTTTTTTTATAAAAATTGTTCAAACAAAAGTTGTTTGTAATATAATTCTCTATAATTTTTGTCCCATAAATAATTTCTCTAAAATGGACCGTATTCAAGATATTTGAGAAAATGTGTAAATTTCGAAATTTGAAGAAAACTCAAAAACGGATAAAGAAAAAATCAATAAATTTTAAACTTAAGTTTTATTTCGGCCTGACGTGAAATGATTAGATTTTGGACAAAGTCGGAACATCTGGGGGGGGTACTTTATGGGAGGCCGTTTATATATTTTATGGAATATATCTGTTATTTATGTTTGGAGAAGAAAATTGTTCAAATAAAAGTTACTTCTAATATTATTATCTATAATTTTTGCCTTATGTAAAAATTTCCTGAAATGGTCCGTATTCGAGAAATTTGACAAAATGTGCAAAATTCTGATTTTTATGAAAATTGTTGAAATAAAAGTTGTTTGCGATATCGATCTCTATAATATTTGTTCATACATGATTTTTTTTTTAAATGGACCGTAATGGAAAAATTGTAGGAAAAGTGCTAAATTTAAATTTTTCAGTATTTTCATTTTCAATGAATATCTATTCGCTCCGTGCGAAGTCATGGAAAGGGAAGCAAAAGCGATACTAGCGCTAGCTGCGGATAATTCGTGCATTTTAGGGGGATATTTTGTAATTTTGGCATATCAAATACACGTATACATTTTACTTTTTTTCAAAAAAGTAGGTAAAAACAACACAATAAGCAACCGGAGTTGCTGTGTTGAAAATTGTACAAATACTAGCAAAAAAAAACAGTGAAACTTATATAACAAATTTCACTAACAAAGTGGAAATTAAATCAAAGAAATAAATGGATAGGTGTACAATAAGAAGAAAAATTACCTTTATTTTTGTGATAATAACAGTAATGCTGGAAATAGTAGACATCAGAAACTAGAAAGTTTTTAAATAAACAATAAATTATCATTTTACGATGTTCTTTAATATTCCTTTATTCTTAAATGTTCATTCAGCAAGGACTAGATTTCAAGATTTCTGCCGTTGATTATAATATTTGGCTGGTATGCAATTTTGTGACTTACTGATCGGAAACCAGTTTTAATCATTCATTCTATGTTTTCTTTAGAACAAAAATGAAAATATAAGTAGCGATCCTTTTTATACATTTTAACTTCACGCTATTATAAATGGTTTCTTCAATGACAACTTATTAGACTTAGGCAACTTCTCATACATTTTCCAGTAAATACTGTTGCCTGCCTATATTTTATTATTGAATTTTAATGATTATACATAATTTTCTTCAATTTAAGCGTGAAAAATATATAATAATAATAAATTAATGTTTTAATTGTTTTATAAATCCATATACTTTTATTAAAACTAACATATATACTTTTTATTTACGAATTCTATTAAAAATTGTATTTGTCAGTATAGGCAGAAATACTCCTTTAATACCAAAACAAATTGGCGCTGCTGTCGCGCACGGAGCGAATAGAAAAATGTTTCGCGGTAGATGTATGTGGACAATGTATATATTTAGTTTATCCTCTAAACATTTATAGAGATGCTGCAATAGGTTGTACACAATAAACGGAAAAAGCCTGTAATAACTAGATAGGAAAGTCATGTGTTGGACACATCAGATTTTTATTTTTTATTTTGCCACCTCGTAATTTTGCCGCCGTCGCCGCCATATTGTAATAAATTGTGAAAAAAGAAGTTTTTTTAAGATATCTTGTTACTAGTTGCTTTTACAGCAAAAATGACTCCAGTACTTGTTGACATAAGTTCTTTCATTCCAACAAATAGGAATGTTGGGAAAACCAATCCATTAATTAACTTTTTTACATCATTGTTATCACGGTTAATCCGGGAACTTCACAATTCAATATGCTGTTCCGAAGTGCTTAACTCTATATTGCAAACATTTTCCACCGCGTCACAAATATTGTGCGAGAATGACATTCCCATAGTCCACTTAGAAAGTACGCTCTCCTCGACTCCCTGCCCACGAGTTAGTCCACCTATGGTTTTCATCGTACGCATTAATGCTTTCTCAATAACAATGTCCGACCATGCGCCACACCAAAATTTGCCAGAACGTTTTATTGAGAAACGCCCTCCATCTGTAAAAGACTTGTATTCTGTAGGATTCATCTTTTCTTTTAAACTATACATATCCTATAAATATAAATGGCCACATTTAGCGTACAAAAAATTACCACTGGCATGAAAATAAGGCAACATTTGCTGGATACTATTAAGATGAAGGTCCCAGTTTCCGCTTCTTTCAGCCTCAATAAATTGATCAATTTGTTTCATAACTGATACCATGCGAAAGTAAGAAACCCATAATTTTGCAGTTGGAGCACGTTACTAGATGATTTTTAAATTTTGAAGCTAATTTTTTGATGCATTCTTCTTGGTCTGCTCCAAGTATTATCGACTTGTCGAAATCGCATAGAATTGCTTCTAGTCCTGCATGTAGGTCTGGTGATAAATCAATTTCCTGCATGATCAATTTTGCAAGATGGACACTTGTGCTCTATATGGACGAGAGATTGGGATTCTCATCTTTTAACACGGCACGTGTTGAGACGACTATCTATCCAGATAACATCTTTTCAAGTGAGTTCGGTGCAAAAATTGGACTTAGAAGCTGGGTTAATCCACTACCATTCATAATATACCCTATGGCTCCCATGAACGACCTCAATAAATGAAAGCCACCTAATCTTATAACATTTCTCAATTTTGCTTCCATGCCACTCGAACAGACAATTTGTTTTGCTGATCAAAAGTGATGAAACATGTTTGCTGATTTAATGCCTTTTCTCAGAGGCTGATGCTAAAACAGTAGCAAGCTATAAAAGATTTCTGATATTAATGATTTACTGTCACTTCTTCCATAAATCCATTCCATCCAGGTATATTGGGAAAATCTGCCCAGCAGATCTGAAGTTGCCGACATAATTGTATTTGCGACTGAAGAAATAGTACGGAGATCTATATTAGAAATTCTCTCTAGACTGGAAAAGTTTATCTTCTCATGGCTTCGTAGTGCAATGCTACCTGAATTTTCGACGTACAGAGCTGACGGCTTGTGGGCGTTATACAATGGATGCCTCCCATGGCATGAAAAGTGTTTCCGCCATCCAGAGTTTGAGTATTAAAGTCTGCATTGTCGAAAACGAACTGTGAAAAGGCACTTCCGTCAATACCCAAAGGACGCCGCATCAAAGCCGAAACTTAAAAAAGTGTTGCTTCCGTGTACGAGGAACAAAATCCTAGCGAATCCAAGGTGTCAATCAGCTTACGAGATCCATATCCAACTTTTAGATTCGAGCGGTAGCCTTAATGAATAAAATTCGTATTGCTTTCCACGCGGCGTACTTGCTCAACTTTGTAATTCTCGTACACGAAAACGGTTGGTTTTATGAAAAAAATGATGAGGACCAATTTGGTAGAGAAAATTATGTAGTTTAAGTTACTACGTAACAATTTTTACTGCAAAAGCAACGAGTAAGGAGATATCTTGAAAAATCTCTATTACAATCTATTTCAATATGGCGGCGACAGCGGCAAAGATACGAGGTGGCAAAATAAAAATTCGGAAAAAGCAGCTCAAAATACGTAGAATCACAAAATATCAAAAGTTTCGCATTTTCCAGATAAATTTACGTAGTTACTGGACTATAACCAATAATGAACTTTAAAGTTATAGTGAGAATATTGATGTACTAAAAACTCATGTAGGTATGCAATATATACAATTGATTTAAGATTATATGTGTACATGGACAAGCAAATACAATAGTTATTTCTCAGTATATTTGTGTCATTTATTTATATATGCCACCTATCTTATATACCTGTCATTAAGCAACAACAATTAGCAGGTCGTGCCCAGGTGCCTATTGAAAAGGGTACGTACAGCTATATTGACAAAATCTATTTGGTTTTTTTATGCACGTATTTTATATGAAATCAACTGTTCATATTTTTCCGTTAACCGAGTTAGCATTAACTGGATGGATTAAAATCCATCCATTAAAATCCATCCAGTTAATGTTGACAAAATTGGGCATTAATTGGCTTCATATTTATTTTTTACCTATATCAATTGACATCAACTGTTTTTGATTATTTTGTTAGTGTTTCTCATTGACACTTTAAGAACAACACATTTAGAACTCATGAAAGAATGGCCAAGTATGGAATCAGACCTAGACATTATAATTAATTTATAATTATTTATTAGAACAAATCCCAGCACTAGTGGAAACCAGTCTTGAGATCTAGAAACGAATCGCAGGACACCCACCATCCAGTTAATTGATGTTTAAATTACTTATTAGACTTTTTTTTTTAAATTCCATAATTGTACCTTTATTAAGCCTTTAACATATGTCTTCTTCAATCCATTATAAATAATACTATATTCATCTATGGGAACCAGAGAGAGAGTATTGATATTTTTTTTGTCCGGTTTATATTGTGACCACTTGAGTAGTTTTGGAAAAAGAGCATTTGCTAACCATTCAGCTTGGGTACTATCAGCATCTTCAAAATTCTGAAGATTAATTTTGAAGGTATTACCACTTAATTGAAATTCATAAGGAAATTTTGGTGTTAAAAGATCTTCTTTTTCTTCATATGCTCCTACAATGAAAAAAAAAGACAATATAGAATTGTTTGACAATTAAATAAAGTATTTCTTCAAGAAAATCAAAATATTCTTATTATGCTATTGTAAACACTTGATGGAAAATAGTATAGTAGGTACAAGAGTGGCACAAAATTGATCGAAAAACATTTGATCGCATTGGAAATTTGATCGAAAATACATTTTATCGAATGGCATTTGATCGAAGATATATTTCATCGAAAAGACAATAGATCTAAAATTCACTAGATCAAAAATCAACATTTAAAATGGTAAAATATAAAAAAATTCAAACGACACTATGCAACCGTACGTACTACCAGTAAAGTCCGACCGAAGCTTCGGTTACGGCTTCGGCCACCTTCGGTCAAAAAAAGGACATTCCGCCTCACATTTGGCTTCGGCCAAAACCAGTAGAAGGTGGTATTGGCCACATACTTTGATTACTATACGGTGCAAGAGAGAGGTCCGACACGCCCAACATAGGGTGCGGCCATTTTGATTCCTATGCCACAGTTTATAGCTAAAGAAGCAGATCGCTCACTCTGCGTCGGTACTTTTCATCTCAATGTTCCAGTTTATACACTGCGCAACTCGGATAATACAATATATGACAACCACTGATCTGTATTATTTTACTGGATAGCAGAGATAAGGCTGGATAGGATATAGCCTCCTAAAAAACGTTCCGAAAAATTGGCCGATTTGGGCAAATAATATGGCGGACCGGATGTTATTTAACGTAACCTCTATTTCCATTTGTCATCACATTTGTCATTTAATTGTCAACAAGCTACGATGAGATGTTTTAATTGTGGAAAACAAAGTAAAAAGAGTATGAATTCAACAATAAACGTTCATTCCTGAAGACACAATATGCTTCACGTTTCCATTTTTATATTTTCTTTCAAAAAAAATCAAATCATGGGTTAATTTTCCTGAAGGACATCTCCCGCAAAAGGAATAGAAGAAGAATAAGAAGAAAAACTAATTAAATTATAGGTTAGGTATGTCAAATTATCCCAAATTTCAGTTCTGTGAACCCACCATAATTTGCCCAAATCGGCCAGCATTGTTGCACTTCCGGTCTCCTTGGTGGAACGGTTTTTTAGTATGTTAAATATAGCCTATATCCTATCCAGTAAAATAATACAGATCAGTGATGACAACCGCTTATAATAAAACAGCAGTCTTCTGCGTATCCTGAATTTGTATCCCTGTAGTGGTTGTTATTTTGGAACTTTCAACTGGTCCGAGTGAGCTAACTGATTCTTTAGCAATAACTGTGACTCCAAAAATAATATTCACTGACAGCAGCAAGCAAAATATCAGGTGCGTTTTAATCATCCGCTTCTGTTTCCGGAATTGTCGGTTTAGTCGTTTTAACCTGTCAGATTAAAACAAGAAAACCGACAATTCCAAAGTAGAAGCGGATGATTAAAACGCACCTATTAAAAATATTGCGACAAGATGTAGGCAACACGTAATAAGGGATCAAAATGGAGGAGTTTTCTATCTTCTTTTAAAAGGCACTCAGAAAGCTGCGCATTGCGACCATTCTCCGTATAGTAAAAGAAAATCAAAGTATGTGTAAAAGGCACTCAGAAAGCTGCGCAGTGCGACCATTCTCCGTATAGTAAAAGAAAATCAAAGTATGTGGGTATTGGCACTCTGAGGCGGCACGTTTGATCTTTAAAAGTAGAAATTTTAGTTGACACTTAACGTTTTCAGGATATGAAAAGTTCTCTTTACAAGGACTTGGTATACCTGGTTAATTGAATTTTTGGTCTGCTGCTTTTCAAATTTGTGTGTATGAGCGAGATACCTTTATAGACAATGGTTGAACAACTTAATTACTTTGAAGAAGAAAATAGATTAGATATCAGGGCAGTCTTCGCAAATGTAAGAAGGCAGAATCCTTTTAAAATGTTTTTATGTATGTGAAATATTACTTTTTAGTGAAAAGTTTAATTACTTTTAGTTAAAAATATAGCGTTAGTTTGTCAAGGGAAATATATAACACACAAGGTTAGAGTAACAAAATAGAGGTTTTGCTTAATTTCTTAAGAATTACTCTAGTCTAAAACTTTTCTAGTATATTGTAGAAATTTATTCTATACGTGATTTGGGTACTGCAAAATCTATAGGAAAGTATGTAGTTTTAAATATAAAAATTTATAACAGAGACATATTTACTGTAGTTTTTTTTTACAAATATTCAGGGACTTGTTTTTTGTGAATGAGTTCAAGTGTGACAGACGAAAATAGTTACTTTTTATTATGAATTAATTTGAATTTATTTAAAAACGGGAACTATATGTATATGGTTTTCGTAGTTTTTACACAAATATCAAAGTTATCTATATTGACCATTTACTACACACATTAAATTCATAGACAATATACATATCACTATTTGACATTCTTATTAAACTCACTAATTTAAAATTGACTTTAAACTAAGTGACTACACACAGAATTGTTTGAAAGCAGCCATAAGGTATAATTTATTTATTGGATACTATAAAAAAATTAATAGTAGTTACATGTAGAGTTAAGTAACAAGAACTTTAAAAACAAAACAAACCTTTATATCTAGTGAACTTAATTTAGTACAGTCCTCAACTTTCTTAGGCTAACATTAAAGATATTTATTTGGAGCTCGCTAAGAAACTCATTGGTAACAGCCATCATCTTGTTAAAAGAAGATATACTACTTGGATCTAAACTAAATAATTTTTTGTTTTTCTTAGATTAATCTTTGCCACATTAAAATTTATATAGTCAATAAAATCACAATCTTTGTACTTAACATTATTTAAAATAGAGTACAAAATATATCACAGACTGTTGCTTGCTTCTTTGTAAAAGAGATTTAATCTTAAAACTATCGAGCATAGTTTTATATGAGATCTTATAAGGGTACGAGTATTTTTTATGTCATAAAGGTACCTACAGTAAAAATATTTTTTGTACCTTTTCAATATGATCAATATGTGTGGCTTTCAAGGGCATCCATATTTGTGAAACATACTCAAGATGGGGTCTTAATAAGGCATTATATAATCTGATTTTGGTGGTAATTCTAATTTTTTTTTGTATTTCTGATTTAAAAACCCAAAGCTTTTATTGATTTTTTAGTTGTGTAAGAAATGGTTATTAAACTATAAATTAGACTGAAAGACAACTCCCAAATCCTTTATCTCATACTCACGATTTAATGTGACATCACAGGTCTTGTGTCTAATGTAAAAAATTAAGAGGCTATGGATCCTTATGACTTAAAATATGCATATGTTTGTAAGTGTCAAATGGATGGATAAAAAGTGTTTTTATTTACAACTATAATAAGAAACATATTTTTGATACCTGATAATCAATAAACAATATATTTTATGGAGTAGCAACAGATTTATTAATACACAACTATTATGTTGTTACAAATATTTATATTATAATATTCATAATTAACATAATAGTGATATAAGTCCTTTAAAAACATTATATTTTGATTTAATTGTTGAATTTATACATGAACAATTTTCCTTGAAGCGTTGTTTACATTTTGCAGAAAAATATTGTATTCTTTTAGCTGATAAATCATGTACATGTAAATGGGTTGAATGTAGACAATGTTAATGTTTTTGCTACTACTGCTGGCTAAGAATGCTGGGACACCAACAAAAAAAAAAACAAAGCACAAGATCAGTTTCTATCACTTATACACTTACAACGAGGGGCGAATCACTCCCGCAATACATGTACAAAATGTCCGCAATCCCATTGAAAATCGCCGCAGTCCCATCAAAATCAGTGGCAATCGCTAAGAAATCGACGCAGTCGTTCAGAATTCCCTCGCAGTCTCCCCGAAATCTCTCGCAGTCGCTGAGCAATCACTAGCAAACGTTAAAAATCGCGCGCAGTCAGTTGACATTTCACCTATTCGCCATTGTCGAAATAGGTGCATTGACTTGGCCATCTTAGCCATCTTGTGTAAAATTAATTTGAGTTTATCGACGGTTTGCCATCAATTAATATTAATTTTAAAATGTCATTTTTGGAATAGATCATCAAATTACTGATCTACTTGTATAGAAAATATTTCCAAGGTGGTCCAGAATTGTCTCCATTTCGCCTTATTTTTTTTTAATGCATAATAAAATTATTTTTATTTTATAGGGGGCATACACGTTTTAATTAAAATGTATTTTATTTAAAAAGGAATTAATTTAATGACAATACTTTTTTACTTTCCTGTCTATATACAGATAACGAAAGTATAGGAATCATGATTTTTTCGAGTTTTCGACGGATTTTTACGGTTCGGGGTTCCCTGAAGTCGTTTTGACTATTTTCGCGATGATGTATGTGTGTCTGTATACTCAATAAATCATGAACGGAAAAAATGAAAAACACTAAATTTTAAATATAAGGTTTGATCTATCCTCTAATGAGTTGATTATATTTTAGGCATAGTCGAAACATCTAGGGGGAGGGGTACTTTATAGGGGGTCGTTTTTTTACTCCATGGAATATATGTTATTTACGTTTGGAGAAAATTCTTTAAATAAAAGTTACTAGTGTTGCTCTATAATTTTTATCCTACAGGTACGTAATGTTCCTAAAATGGTTGGTGTTTAAGAAAGTTTACAAAAAGTGCAAATTTCGAATATTTAAGAAAAATTTTCAAATAAAAGTTGCTTGTTATTCTCTTTAATTTTTGTCCTATACATGATTTATACCATATTCGAAATATTTGAGGAAAAGTCTAAACAGATATCTTTAATGTTAGCCTAAGAAAGTTGATGACTGTATTAAATTAATTAAGTTTTTTTTTTCATTTTTCGCATTGTATGAATACTTTTTTTTAATAAATTATTTAGTTTTTTTTATAATTTTTGCTAAATAACCTGCGATAGGTCTAAAACCTACAGGTTAGGTAAATTAGTAAAATTTTTAAATTTTTCTCATTTTATGTATAATTTTTTTGAAGAAATAACCTGCGATGGCACCTAGTATCACAGGTTAGGTAAATTAGTTAGGTTTTTTCTCATTTTGTTAATTTTTTGTGAGGTAACCCCAATGTCTCCAGGCCGTATAGGTTAGGTTAGGATTTATCCTTATTTTTATATTTTCTGATGACTAAACACAAAATTTTTTAATTAGTGATATTTTATTTTGCAAATATGGAAAACAAAAAATTTTAGGAAGGCTTGTTAAAATGTGGATTCACTCTAAACTGCATATTTTTTTCCGCAGACCGAATAGGAGAGTAGCCAAGGCAGAAAACAAGAATATTTTTTAATTTAAATTTTTTTATTATCAAAATTCTTAGTGTAAATTTGAGATTTTATATTTTTGTTGGAATTCACATACAGGGTGTTTCCATATCAATATGTTATTTACACTTTTTACATTTTCTATAATTTTTTTCCTATACATATTTTTCTCAAAATGGTACATATTCGAGAAATTTGACAAAAAGTGCAAAATTCTCTAATTTTTGTTCTATACATGAGATATCTTTAAAATGGAGAGTAATGGAAAAATTTGACAAAAAGGGTAAAATTTTAATTGTTCAGTATTTTCGTTGGCAATAAATACATGTAAAAAATATTAGGAGTAAGATGTGTGTGGAAAATCTCTAAACATTTACAGGTGTAATATACAGTAGGTTGTACAAAATAACCGGAAAAAGCTTGTAATAAAAAGACAGGAAAGTCATGTTTTGCACACATTAGATTTTTATGTAAAAAAATGGAAAAAATCATTTTTGCAAAAAAAATAGTACACAAAAACTATAGGGATAAAAAACAAACCCTAATTTATCCCTATAGTTTTAGAATAATAGTTGGCAGATGCAGTGTTAGTATGATTTTAATTTAATATGTTTAAATAAAAAGTGATCTACAACAGTAGTTTGTGCAACAAGAGTGGATATGATAGCCATATGTAAGACAGACAATTTACTCAAGTTGTACAGTATATTTTTTTTACTACTCACTAACGAAAATTTACAATTTATTTAGAGATAATTAAGATAAGATGACTATTTTAAAAATAGATGATGACTTTTATTAATTTATTAAATTAAATACATAAAACAAAAAAATATTTTTTAAATTTATGCTATATTTATAAATATACCGAATATCTTGTTGAATCCTTTTATTTATCGATTCTTCAAAGAATCATAAAACAATTTTCACGTTTTTTTACGTCTTATATAAACTTTAGTTTTTCTTTTTCTTGTATGACTCATAATACATGTTCTATACAAAATTTAGTTCTCCTGATATAACACCCAGCTAGTGTTTTTTACTGGAAACCAATTGGAAAGCCATACATTGGTGTAGAAATCCTTCGAAAATACCTGCAATTTTGAAAAATACTGGCAATCCATACGGAAATCGCCGCAATCAGTACGGAAATCGCCGCAGTCAACACATAAATGAGCGCAGTCACGAGAAATCTATTGAAATCATATGGAAATCATCGCAGTAACTAGAACTCTGTAGGAAGTCACATGGAAATCACCGCAGTCACCCAGAAATCGCCATATGATTGCGTAAATCATGTAAATTTGGCAATACATGTACATTTTTACAAAGAGTGATTTGCCCCTCGACTTACAATTTACAACCATGTTGGAAATACTTCACGAAAACAAATCAGTCGAATGCAATGTATTTTCTTTTTATAACACACCTTTTTAGTACTCTATTTATTCCAATGTCCTCAAATAAAACAAGCAATAATACGTAACAATAAGGATAAAACAAACACTAAAGTGTATTTGGGGTATTTTGATCTAAAGCCACTATCAAAATAACAAATTTTCCATTTTTATGCTGTGAATGTATTACAAAAACTACTTCGATAAAATGTAAACAAAAGTTTGTAATTGTGTACGAAATATGGATTGTCTGCGCATGGTAGGGAGTTTTTATCCGGATTTATGACAAATGATAGATTATATCCCGAAAACGTCAGTGCAGTAAAAGATGCATGTGTTTTTCCCGCCCAGGGAGTGTCATGAGCCTGTTTGAACCAACTTATATGACTATTATGATAGAGCTATATTTTTCTCAGTGTACATTTGTGTTAAAAAATATTTTTAATTTTATATTACCTATAAATATAGCAGAACCTTTGGCTTTGTCTAAAACAGCAACTTCCAGAACTTTATGATTTGTATTCTTTTTAGAAATCAGTAGTTGTATGGAAACAAATGTATTGGTAAAATCAGAATTAAATTCTTCTTCATTTGATATAGTTAAAGTAACATTTTTGTCATATGCTTCAAGTAAACTTTTTAATAAATCTACAGTTATAGATTCCTTAGATAGTTCTTTAAGTTTTCTTCTCTCATATAACATTGCAGAACTTGTAAAAAGCTCACTGATATGTGTAAACAAGCCTTTGCAATATATTTTATAAAAGATAACTTTTGTAACAGCAGTTACAAGTTTATTAGCTAAAAATGGTCGATTATGGTAAAGTTGCACTATGTCCCAAAACAGTGGAGCAGTAAAAGTAAAGAATTCTTCATTACTAGTTACTAGAGGAACTGGAAACATAGTCACTTCTGTGGTTTTCCTAAATACTGAAATAAACGAAAAATCAGTTAGATATTAAAAAATAAAATTTTATGATTTCAAACCTTTTTCAAAATCCAGTCAGCGTCTTCATAAGCTCTTTTAATAATCTGACTTATTCTCTCTGGATCTTGTTCCTTAACATGTTGTTTATAACTCTAAAATCAGAAAAGTATAAAAGTTCAGAAATCATAATTTGACTCAATACAAACTTGTTTTATCATAAATTGGTAGTGTTCTCTTGGACCACTTGGAAGTTTGCGACACTGTCTAATTAAATATTTGTATAATTGTACAGGTGATTCAGAAGTCTTTGTACAAAACTGCGAAACTGCCCCAAAATATTTCTTGAACATTCTTATCACAATATATCCCCTATAGTAGTGCATCTCACTTGTTAAAGAGTTGGCACTAAGTTTGCAGCGCAAGAATGCGTCTGTGTCTGGCCGCTCAACTAACTCGATATGGCGGTAAATTCAAATATAATTTAAAGGCGAAATTTAAATTTCCCGCCAAAATTGTAAATTTTCAGCCGCGGAATGGCGGGAATTTTTAAATATATTCATTCGGCAATAATTATTGAGAAGTATATTGCATGTTCGATTAAACGAGCTGTAAATCCAGGCGCTATTTTTATTTTGATAGCTAAAAATAATACTAATACTTTTATTATTAGCTATTACAATAAGAGCAGCATTTGGATTAACAACACATTTAAAAGAACATGTAATATACTTTTCAATTTTACCTAAATCACTTATTTTTTACCTATAGAGGTTAGATCTGAAAAAAAATTGGCTCTGGTAAAAAAACAAAAAATTGTATAAAGTATTTTATTTGAAAAATTATAAAACTTATTTAATATATTTTAAAGACGAAGATAACTCTAGCCATATCCATTTTACTGAAAAAAAAAAGAAACTATTAAATGAAATCATTTAGTTATTAAGAGATGTTTGTGATAATACAGTGGCAGCTATCGAATGTTGTACAATAAGTTTTGCTAATGTCCAAGTAAAAACTACAAAGAGTTAGCATTAGTGAGAGAAGGAATAGAATACTATGAACGTAGCCAGCCGGCTACGTGGGGATGCATCACACCGTGTGCCTGTTCATATTACACAGCACACAAGGCAACATTCATATTATTCGTTTCCTGATCGAACTAATGCGCTAACTCTTTAGTTTTATTTTCGATTCTAGCCAAGCGTATTGGAAAGTGTTCATTAGCCGATACTGTATATAAATGCTAAAATCAATAAGTGAAATAAAAAAATTTAGTTTAAATGGACATCTACTTCGAAAAAAGTAAATTATTATACTTGAATTTTAAAGGCTGTTGCCACTGGAAAACTATTATCTAGGGCTTGGATGACAGCCATAGGACTCCCTCCTTGAATCGTGTCCATAGGAAAGCATAAGATCATAGTTAAATTATAATATTAAGAGGGTAGGTATTAACTGAAAAATTATTACAAACTTACCTCAAAATTGGCACCTACATTAAAAGAAGGGAAAACGGAAACATAAAATTGTTATACTTGAATTTTAAAGGCTTTTCCCACTGGAAAAGTATTATCTAGGGCGCAGACCCTTGGATGACAGCCATAGATAGCAATCCCTCCTCGATTCCTCTTTTTCTGAGTTTGTTGTACGTTTTGTTTCCCATATTAAATAAGAAAGCACTTAATACAACAACACAAATCACAATAAATATCGCTGAAACAAAATTAATATTAAATTTCGTAGAAGAAAAAATCAAAAAATTATCACTTGTCAACACTGACACTTCACGCTTCACTTATAAAAACTCAACGCTAAAGAATGAAAGATGATTCGAAATAGAAATTATTAACTGGTATCTCTTTCTTTTATAAGTATCTAAACAAAGAGAAGGAGTGGGAGTGAGTAACGCTCCGATCAGATTGTTTTGAATTCGTCGTCAACCAATGAACGTGCCGAAGTCAAAAATCAATAACGATACTAGCGCCATGAGACCTGTGTCTGGCCGCAGCGTAACTCAAAGCCATTTCTTGAATCCCAGTTACATTACTATAGGGGATATATTGTGATTCTTATTCTAAAAAATATTTTATTTTGTGAGGTTAGGTCTTCTTTTCGTCTTCTTCTCTTTTTTTGGAAGGTCTTCTTTTGAATTCACAGACATCGAAGTCGCGTTCGATTTGGCCGTGGTTTGGCAAGGAGCCACCCAGGAGCTGGAAAGGGACAGTTGCGGAGTTTTTTAGGGTAATTTAATGCTATCTTTCACTAAGGCCCGTATTTATAAACAGAACTTACGTGAGTCGGACTTGGGTAAGTCGTCCTTGAACTAAAATCGAAGTTCGGTTGCAACGTCTCTAAAGTTCTAGGTGGCTTCGATGTTACACTGGAATTTAGAGATGGATATTAGCAAATATGTAACTGTTAAGTACATTTACGAATTTGTTAGTACCCATCTCTAAATTCACGCGATATAACCGAACTTCGATTTTCGTTCAAGGACGACTTACCCAAGTCCGACTCAGCTGAGTCAGCGTTGGGTTTTTAGTAGCAACAGCACAGTATAAAGATTATTACCAGTAATCGCACTCCCTGTCGGCGCCTTTGATCTAGATGTCCCAGTTCTGAACTCGCGCAGGCATCGACGCGCACATATGGCCGCTGTTAATTCGACCGCCAATTTTGAATAGTTAATGTTATTAATATTAATTGTTTACATTTTTAAGTAATTTTTATAGTTAAGAATGATTGTTTAATTTGTAATATTTTTAATAATTAATTTTTGTCATCCATGATGCCACCTTTAAAATTTAGCTGACCCGGATAAAAATAGCAAGAGAAAGAAAATTTTTATTTTCAAGCTTATTTTATTCAAAATAACAATTCACACATGAAAAGAACTAATTTTTATTTCCTTAAAAATATAATTAAACATTGCATTTTTATTGTCAAAGTATTTTTAAATGTTTCGAAATTTAAAGCTATATTTGTTATTACTTTGGCATAGCGTTACTAAATTCTTTTGTTCACTTTTCTCTAAATACTTGACACGTCATATTAAAATTTAGTGGAGGTAGAATATATTTTTTATTTTGGTGAAACGCGGTTTAACCTACAGATAAATTAATATTAAATATATTAATTTATCTATGGTTTAACCCCGAGAAAATATCTAGTAAACCGGAGCTCGAAGACCATATATTAAAACCCGGAGTCTCCAAGTGAAACCAGGAGAGGTGGCAATTCTACATCCATATCAAATTTGTAATCGTATATTTATATATTGACACACAAAATCACATCGAAGTTGCACCAGGACAACTTTATGTGATTTTAATGTAGTAATGTATAAAATTATTTTTATTTGTATTAAATCTAGAACAATTATATTTTTTACAAATATGTAAATTTAAAAAATGTAGATATATGTATATAAATTTTAGTTTGTCGAGTTCAAATCAATTTGATATAAAAATAAAACAAAGTATTCGGTAAATTTTTTTTATTAAAATCTCATACATACGTACATATAAAAAAATTATCAAATTCTAAAATAAATGTTTACAAATGTTGTAGAATTATTAGTTTTTTTATTTTTTTTGTTGGTTTTTGATTTTTTAAATTTTTGTTCACATATTTTAAAGTATAAAATATTCTTAATCGTACATATAAATTTAACAAATATGAGATGGGAAAATTCTCGCAAGGATGTACATAAATAATTTTTTCTATATTGCGTTTAATTTCATATCCAACACCGTTATTGTGGGAAATAATTCACAGAATTTTTGATCGAGTTTATGAATATACTCGTAAAGTGATTCTGGTGGCATGATCAAATTTCCAAATATATTTTGGTCACTACTTCTATAAGCTCTCATTTGGCAAAGTACCGTTTCATTAGTGAGCTCGGTTTGTTCTTTTGAGAACTGCAGGCAAATAGGACAGGAATGTTTTCCCAAACAATTTTTAATGAGATACCCTGCTACCCAAGATAAAGCATTTTTTTCAGGTAATTCAGCCTCTGAATAATCTCGTCTACGCATATAATACAATCTTTTGCTCGATCAGTACAGTTTTTCACTTTAATACTTATAAAATTGAACAAGAATGCATTAAAATCAGTGCAAAAGTCCAAATTAGATGTCATTCGACAGAGCGTAGCTTTATGAGAAAGATGAAACGTATCTTTTAAAAATCTGTACACTTTAGGTCCCAAAAAATAAATTGTTAAAGCAAATTGCTTGTATGCTTCTGTATACCTGTACCCATGAGGTTCTCTTTTTGACAGAGTTAGCTGGGTAATTATAAAACTTTGTAAGGGTTCACTGAACTTTTCCTGACAAAATTTGATGAAGCCTTCTTCGGAAATTGTGTTGCTGTCTTCTACATTTCTTTGCGGACTCTCAGACAGACGAAGACACTTTTTTTTTCAAGTTTAAAACTTCTCGATGAAGATTTCTTTTCCTTGGAGTTGAGCAAGATAGATTTGGAGACGTTTGAGTTTCTTGTCCTTTTAAATTTGGATCAATATTTTCCTCTTGTCTTGTTTCCATTGGGTCTGTTATCAATGACGCTCTAGAAGTTGATGCACCTTCATTGATTTTTGGTTGAGTTGCAGTTTTCTTACATCCTACACCTATAAAGATAAGTAGATATGTAATTGAATCCGGAAATAATAGTTCAATGTCAGGAATTGTGATAGATTTGCTAGATGCAATATACTGTTTCTAATTTTTAAAATTAATGTGATTATATTCTGATATTTTATACATTATAGTATGATTCTTGATGATTATTTAGGCACATACTTGATGAAAATATAGAATTATTAGAATAAACCCTTTTTGTATTATATACCTGTTTGTTATTTTATAGTATGTTCCAACTCCTATCCATTTAGTTAATCATTGTGCCAATTTATGTCAAAGTTTAATATTAAATAAACCCTAAGTTTAAAGATTTATTACACCTTTGTAAAAAAAATTTAATTTATTGATATAATAAGGTTTTAACCCTAGGGGATTAAAGTAATTAAGCAATAATTTCGTGTTTAAATTGGTATAATGAACACTACTGTGACTATATTAATCAAATAATAATTATATTTACATAAATTAATTTAATAAGGTTTTAACCCTAGGAGATTAAAGTAATTAAGCAATAATTTAATGTTTAAAATTGTATATTGATATAACTCTTCTGGGAATGAACTAATTAAATAATAATTGTGTTTAAATTGATAAAATAAGGTTTTAACACTACTGGGATTATCTCACATAGTATTAAGAATCAGGTAAAGGGATTAAATAAAGGTGGTGAATTGAGTAACAAACAAAATTAGGAAAACATAATCTGTGCATGAAATTATAATTATTTCAAAATAAAAAATACCTTTAAAACCCTCTCCATCATTAAATATGTCAGGCTCAGTATATTTCTTCAGTCTTGTTCCAGATATATTGTCTTTTGAGAAATGCTCACTACATATTCGGCGTCCAGCAATTATTTTAGAATCCTGCAAAACCCATTCTTCTTTTCCCATTAATTTTAGCCATACAATTTGCCTGAAAAAAAAAAAAAAAATCAGCATTACTTTAGCCATACAATTTGCATGAAAAAAATTGAAAAATCAGCATTCTTACTGGCTTAACAAGATTTCACCAACCATATTATTGTGGGCATAATAAAATGACTTCTATTATATAATTTTTGAAAATGTATAAAAAAATTAAATAAGTGGTATTTTCCTTTTAGAACTCATAAAATCCTCTGCATATTTTCTTTTAAAACAAAAAAACTTGTGTGTCTGTTCTTAGACGTCTATTTTTTTTAACTGAGGCTGCGATATTTGAAATGATTATTTTTCAACAATGTACTTACTAAATGAAAAAGCTTCAATTACAGGTTAAAGAAGTGTAAAACATAATTTTTCGGTCAAATTTACTATATACATAGGTATTTCAATATTTAAACTGCACAAAAAGTTGTCTTCAAAGTTTTAAAAATTGAAAATATGCATTTTTTAAAGAAAAATTAAAAAATTGTATGAAATAATGCCGTGAATATAATATAGAGAATTAGAACAATCTTTATGGGTAAAAAATTAAAGGAAATATTTAGTATTTATGAACAAAAAGCATTTTTAGCGTCTTACCTGATAGGATCCTTGGGCAATGCAAAAAAACTCAACTTTGGTTTGTCCCTTTTATTGTTTTTACAATTGTACACGCCACAATAATTCACCATTGTGAAAAATAATACAAGTTCACACGAAAAATAATTTGATAAGCACTTAATAGGTTCTTTCGTTCGCTATTGGTGTAGTGTCCACCAGTGTAAATTACACCAGTTACACCACCTTATTTACCTTAGTTTACTTCCCCCCTTATTCCTTATACACATTTCGGGTGTAATTCACTCCTGCTAAATAGCCGGTGGAGAAAATATCCACCAGTGGACACCACATCGCCGACAGGAAGGTTTAGTGGATTTTACACCGGGCCGAACGAAAGGTTTAGTGTACGTTGGTGTAGCTCATTCCTACACCAGTGGGACGAACGAAAAAACCTAATAATTGCTAAACACATCAACAACTGACAACAACGAATCAGTGTTGCCAGAGCACTCTCAATGAATGTAATAGATGTACTCTCAAAATTGTAATAAATTTCAAGAAAATGTAATAGAAATTTTAGTCAATGTAAAATGAACTATACATAAAAAATAGATTAATTGTATTGATATTGATATTGTTTTATGTTTCTAATATACATTTATACCTCAGATAAATAAATAATAATAGATAACTGAATGTCAAAAATTTACATTGCGTTTGTTTGAAAGCAACATATACAAGCCAGTTGTTAGGAGGGGAAGAGCGGGGTTTGTTAGTTTTATTATCCAGTAGCGTATCAAATAAATGTCAATAGAAATGCTTTTGATTTATATTATAGTTTTAAGATATTTCAATGGATCAATGTTTCTAATATGAGATGTTTATAGAAAACCGTCAAAAATTAATTTTTCAGTCGACCAATACATATATTTTTTAAATTAAAAACATACATTATTTTTATACACAATTTGAATAAACGTTGCAATGATAGGTTTTATAAATTCTAAATTTTTGTATCAATATTTTTTAATAATATCGATTCTTTTGTAAATTATTTTTATTGATTTGTTACGAGTACCGCTTATATATGTAATAAAAAATATAATAAAGTATCTGTTTATTGTTAGTCCCTTTTAAATTAATTAAATTTTGTGCACAAAATATTTATGGTTTTTAATAATTGGGAAAGTAGGGTTAAAAAAACAATTGTAATTCATTTTATTAAATAGTTGGGTTAGATCTGGAAAACAAAACAAAGACAAATGTTATAATAACAGTTTAGAATAAAGCGATACTTATGTAATAAATGATAAGTTCATAATTACCGTTTTAAAATATTGCCAAGGTTTTCTAATACACAATATTTTAAATAATAAAACTTAATTTCGATGAATTCTTGTCAGTTAGAAATAGAACAACGTTAAGCAATTTTTTAGAGACGTTGTGTTATTGTACTCATTTGGTTTAATAACAATTAATAATGGATAATGGGGTGATTATAATAATAATAATTTAGTTGCCAACAATTTTCCTTTCACATAATTTATAAATCAAATAATTATGTGACAGGTACCTAGATAACTAAAACTAATATTCATTAACTACAGATAAATGAAACCCAACAATTTTCCTACCACACAATTTACAAATTAAATTAATTATGAGACGTGATAAGTAAATATAATATACATTCACTTGAGATGTTATTAGGAATGGGGTGTTAATACACTGCGACCTAAAATATTTATTCCAAGGAAGTGTAGGATTTGGAGTGGCTTCGTGTTAGGTAAATCTCTCTCTCTTTTCCATTTGGTATCCTCCTACTAGGTATAGTGCCCTTGGATTCTGGAGTACTGCACATTCAGTTAGAATGTGAATGGAGGTTTCGTCCTCCTCCTCACAGAATCTGCACTCACTATCCTCTACTACTCTCAGTTTACTAAGGTGTCCTCTAAGTCGATAATGCCCAGTAAGGATCCCTGTTACAATACGAAGCCTGTTCTTGCTCAGGCAGATGCAGGCTGTGATGTATGCCTTATTTATACACTACTCAATAAAACAACACCTTGTTGTAAGCTTTTATTCTCTAGTATTCTGATAAACACAGTAATTCAGTAATGGTTACAATACAAGACAAAACTCAAGATGAAATACGAACTTGTAATACGAGACAATGCGCATCTGACTCTTATTTAGTACTCGTGGCGGCATCTACGTACGATCTATAATCCTACGGGGTCACAGACTACAGATGACTGTGATATAAGGAGAAACACTTATATTAAGAAAACATAGATGGCGTCACGGGTACTAACATTACCATTTATAAATGGGTATACAGATCTCACACAGGCTTCCGATGTTTCCTGCCATGGTTTCCTGGTTATATTCACCCAGAAGTATCTTAGCGTGTCTTAGCCCTAAGAGATTGATCCAATTATCGGTTCTTATACTGCCCAATTATTTTTTAATCTCGTCGTGGACGTTTGAACGAGAAAAGTCAGTAAATGTGACCATCGCCTTTCAAGGGGATGCTTTAGATGTTCTTCAGACTGTACCTGTGGAAAAAACGGATGACTTTGAAAGACTTAAAGGATCGTAAGCAGAATCGAGACAAGTCTCCAAGAATACGAATTAGATATTTCCAGGATGATGCAATACTGGCAACCATTTTCCTACTACACAATTTACAAATTAAATTAATTATGTGACGTGTAACTATACAGGGTGGCTCACGCTCAACGGGATGGAGCTTTATGGGAAAACGACCAAAGATATAAAAAATTCGTTTGAGAGGAATACGTAGGTTACAGACGGCTACAATTTAAAATTTGTTAGATGTATACAGGATGTCCCACATAAGAAAAAAAAAATTAGTTCATTAAAAATTATTCAAACAAGAGTAAACAATTAATTTCTGGGAGACTTTTTTTCCTTAAAAACTCAAATAAATCGAAAACTAATAATAATAGTAATAGGGAACCTTTAGTTAACTGACATTATTTTTGATGTAGTTTTTAATTCTAAAATAAAAAACAGGGTGTTCCATTAAAAATAATATAACTTTGTATATTTTCTCTTATGTGGGACATCCTGTATACATCTAACAAATTTTAAATTGTAGCCGTCTGTAACCTACGTATTCCTCCCAAACGAATTTTTTATATCTTTGGTCGTTTTCCCATAAAGCTCCGTCCCGTTGAGCGTGAGCCACCCTGTATAATAAGTAAATATAATATACATTCACTTGAGATAAATGAAACCTATTTTAATTTAGACAATAAGAAAACATATCATAATAATTACATATATTATTGTGTTATTAAAAAAACATGAATAGGTAATTAAAAAATTACAAAATTTACCTATTGGTTCCCGTACTTAGAATATTCAAATTAATTAAACAAAGACAAAAAAACATTTTTATTATTTATAGTTTTTGTTCAAATACTCACTTAGTTTCAGATGTAGAAGGTTTAGAATGTGACATAGTTTTCAGTTGAGGAACAGCTTCAGGATGTGAGTAAAATAAGGGCATTACTCCTTTCATTAAAAACATTTTTCCTCCTGGAGACTTAGCAAAGGCAGAAATGTCTTGAACAAATTCAACTGAATACACTCTTCATCCTCACGTACACCCAAACTCTTCATCCACATATATCTAGTTTGAGGATCTTTTGGAAACCTAAATAGGTATAAATAGTGTTTTCTTATTCATATAGGTAGGTATATAGGATTTCATGTAATACAGAATGCAACATAGTATACTTTAAAATAACTATGGTGTTCTAACAATATATTTTGTCATTAAAATGAAGCAATACTAAGATTTAATAACTAAAGTAAATGCCACTAGAGCCTTCTTTAATGTACAGTGTGCATAACAATATTACTTTAATTTAAAGATAGCCTATTAATAAATTCAAAGTTATTAAACACAGGCACAATAAAATAATTCGAAATTCTACGTTGAATGTTATTTTAAACTTTAAAATAAATTGTTGTTGTTTAAACCTTATTTTGAATTATGATACCCCTCAAAAAAGTGTGATGCAACGGTAATGGTTTTTATTTACTTACCTATGAAACGTTATCGAACTGAACTTGAGATACTTTCTCGAGCACACAATACAATTCACTTGCATTTTTAAGCAATTAAATGCACTAAAATAACTTAAACCACAAAAATTTTTCAATTAAAGTACGAAATAAACTCAAAATGAACCACAAAATAACCATAAAATAACTAACCTAACTAACGTAGTCCTGTCAATTTTTTGCTAACCAATCAGGTGTGTAACCAAAATAGCGAATATCCAATCAAGTCGTGTAACCACTGCTGTATAGTGAGAGGAGATGCTGGTTACAAATATTGCATGATAGGGCTGTATCTATTATTTATTTATTTATCTGAGATTTATACATGTTTATTGATAATTGGCGATTCAAATTAATTTTCGCGCGCCTGTCATTTGTCATCTATAAGTAGGATGTTTGTTTATTTACATGTTTCTGTTTTGGGCGGATTTTGTATTTGTGATTTTTTAAACTGTTTTTAGATAATATTCTCATTGTAATAGTGTTTTTGAGTTTCATTTCGTGTTAATTTATGTTTAAGTCTCGTGCTTCGTCATAAATATAATATTTACCATGTGTATGAGTTAATTTGTTGGAAATATTCACCTATTGGTTGCTACAAGAACATCTAGAAATATGTATTCACTAAACCCAGGACATGTTTTATTATGTGGTTTAAAGGACATTTCAGGTACCACACGTTTATTATGGATGAACTTATTTAAAAATCTTACTAGACTTATTCTTATATTATGAAGTGAATCATGTAGTACTTTGTCTACATGTAAATGGTTATAAAACCGTCAAAAAATAAGATTACAGTTTGATTCAAAACAAAGTTTTGTAAAATTTCAATATTGTGAATTTGTAGATATCCATTTATCGTAAAAAACAAAATTTTACGACTAGTACTTGTAAAAAATATGAATACTTCAGTTTTGATTTTGACATTAACACCATATAGATATCAATTTTCTGGGGACTTTTTCGCAGATTTCATTTTTAATATAAACACTATCACATGCTATAAGAAATAAACAAATTTAAAGCTTAA